CCAACCCACATCGCACTCACCTCCCCCTGATCCAGCTTCACGCGTGTCTGGTGGCCAGCGCTGCCCTTGATTTGCCAAGCGCCTGCCTTGCGCATGCTTGGAGAATGCCAGTCTGCTTGGAAGAGAAGGTTCGTTCTTAATGACCCCTTCGCACTTGGCCAAGCACACTCTGAGCCACAGATTCTGTGCATGTTGTTCTTGGGATAAACATCAATCCTGTGGCATCTTTTGGCAAGGTGTGTAATCATACTTGATTTTGTCAGGAAATGTGGCCGCCCCAATTGACTTGGCTCATGACCCAAATTTCAATAGCATGGCTCAAGATTTCTGCGCAGATGCCTCTGTGCAAGTTGCTCTGCGCAAGCATCAAGGAGCTCTGTGCAAGTTCGCTCTATGTAAATGGCTCTGTGCAACAACTGAGTCTATACAAATGGCTCTATGCAAGTTTGTTTCCGCAATTTGGTCTACGCAACTTGGCCTGCGAAAGTGGCTCTGTGCAACTGACTCTGTGTAAATGGCTCTGCGCAAGTTAGTCCACGGGCTCCGGACAAAAGAACCCTTCGCGTTGCTGGGTCCTGTTCATTTTTTTACTGGCAGGCTGCCAAGAAAAAAGTCTTGCACCAGCACCGGGGTTGGAAAGTTGTGATTTTCACCCCCTAACCCCTAGTTAATGCCGACCCCTAATTAGCAACCGCCCACTTAGGGTGTCCTGGCATTCCTTCTTCCAGAGAGACCGGGACCTCTTGATAAAACGGAGGAGAGAAGCAATCAAGAGTCAAGCGTGCCGGGCCAAGTGTTACCTCTCTTGAGAATGCGGTTTTCTTCCTCGCAACTGCCATGATTCCCCCCAGGGGCGGGAGGTTGGAGGGTTGCAGTAGGTTGCAGGAAGGTTGGGTTCATTTTCCTTTGGGGCCCTTTTTGGTTCCTATTCGGATTGTTGCTTCGGGGAAAAGAAGGGGGTGAACAAAAAATGGAACATGCAACAAGACTAACCAACAAACAAACAAAGCAAAAAGCAAGCAAGCAAACAAAACGAACAAACACAAAAACACACGCACACATAAACAAACAAACCTAACGCAACACCCCGCCCCACAAAAAAAAAAAAAAAAAACGCAAACAAGCAAACAACAAAAAACCAATAAGCAAGCTCAAGCAAAGACAACAAAAACACACACACACACACACACACACACACACACACACACACACACATCAGAACAGTAAAACATACACACATACACTTGGAATATATGCATAAATAACGAAACAACTACATAAACAACTCTACAATAATAGTAATAGAACACACATAAGCACAACTGCAGACACAAACCGTACGGAACCAACAAACAATGTAATAACAAAGGACACTAATAATCAAATACACAAATATAGTCATGAACCAAATGCATAAGGGAGTGACATAACCAAATAAAGAGAACACACACATAAATACAGAACAAAAAGGAATGAACGCTAGAACAAAAAGGACCTAAAACAAAGAAGCAACCACATACACACACAAACAAACCAAACAAAACACACAAACATTGAAACACAACACACATAAGGCAAACAATCGCACACAACACACAGAACACGCCTTTAAGCTCCAAGGGCGTCCACGCCATGCCTTGCCTCGGAGATTTGCCCGCTGAGGCGGCCTTGGTCCTCAGAGCAACCCAAAGTGGAGGAACCCCCAAGGCATCCCAATGGAATGCTCCAGAGGAACCTGAAGATCAATTCAAGGATGTGTGAAGGAACTAGGCATGCCACAAGATTATTGGGAACTCCTGAGGTGGGGCAACTGGATTTGTTCAAGGAACACAAGGCATGCCACAAAATTCTTGGGAAATCCTAAGCAAGCTGAAGGGGAAAGCAGCTAAGAGCAGTAGATCTGCAAGACCCGCCCTTGCAAGAATCATGGAAGTGGACAACGAGTTCCCCCAGCCTAAAGAAAAGTGGTCGTCCCACACCTTCCTGTCAGCTTTCATGATGGTGGGGTGCCAGGAGTACATCACAAGCCTGAACCAACACCCCAAGAAAGCTTCCGATGGCAAGCCCCGAAATTGGGCCCATCAGGGCTCGGCCACGAACTCCTAAACTCTAACGATCTCAGCGGTATAGGAGAGGCATCTGGGAAAGTCGCTGTACTTCGCATGGCAGGAATCCGTATGCGAGAAAAACTGGGAAAAAAAGTATTCCTGGCTACTGGCTCGTTCCACCCCTTGAATCCGTGAGCTCGTGACATTTGGCCTAGGCATCATGGCCCCGGTAAATAGACCCAAGGAACCCCAAAGAAGCCCGTTTGCAGAGTTGCTCCAAAAACCTTGCTCCAAGGGAACACGGTTGGTAAGGGAACAACACTATGTCCTGCCCTTGGGTCGGTAGAGGAAGTCCATAGGAATCGTAATCCAATTTGGAACTGTGACAGGTATTTTCGAAAAATTGCAAAAGCTTTGCCGCTCTGCAAACCATGCTTGCCGTTTGACTCTCTGTGGGAACGTCCAGGAACCCAGTAAATGTCAGCACGTACCCTGTGCAGGGGCGCCGAAGTTCTCGAAAGGGCAAGGAGTGACACGCACGGCTTGAACGAGGCCAACTATTTTGGGGGCTAAGCTCCCAACTCTCAGCCTCTAAGAGCTATTCCCCGGCTCCCAGGCATTGGCCGATCCCTCCTTGGTTGACGTTCGAAGGGGAGCAAAAAAATGTGTTTTTCGCCATTGAGTGGGGGTTTTCCACTCAACCACAATAATCCAAGATGCAAAATTGTTTCTCAACAACCACCATGCCTCCGCGAAACGAGGGCCCGGGCATCTTGAAGGTGCTGCAACCTGACATGGCAAGAGAGCCCTTTCTTGTGGCCTTCGTTTGGCAGGGGCATGTTTGTTTTCTCTGGCAGTGAGGAACCAATATTTGCTTGTGGTAGAATAAGGGGACCATGTGTTGTCCCGGTTGGTGGGAAGAACGGCGAATATTTGCCGAGAATCCATTGCCCGGTGCTTCCAGCAAAAAAAGATCCCTTTCCAGAGTTGACCATGTCGGGAGTGGGGATTCCACCAAACAACAAGGCCACGACAATAACACGAGCAGACCAACACGAAGCCGAAAAAGGTCGAAAGCTCGGTTCGTCTTGGGCAACTGCAGAAGAAGTGCGGATTCCTCCACATCCCTTCTTGCATTCCTAGGACCCATTGCGTCGGATGCGATTTAAGCACGTCTTCAACTGGGTGTAAGAGATGCGACAATGACTCTTTGATCTTGTGCTTCCCTTGCACAATCCCCAAAACAAAGGCCATCCGAAACCCCACGGCGCACTCCATAGGAACATTCCACATTCCATTGGGCCTGTCACTGGCAATCGCCCGCGTGCCTGTTCGCAACCCGCTACAGAAGTCCTATGCGGAAGCGAAAACCAAACAAGTCACCTGTTTTAGGGTCAAAGCACATGTGGCCGGTAGTTGAGTACTCTGGAACGGCAAACATTTCTTCTGAGATACCACTGGAAGTCCTTCTCGCTTGCTGGGGGAGGTTCTCGGATTTTGGAAGCGCGGGAAGACATGGCAAATTCCAAAGTACCTACTCACCGCCCCAAACCTCCAAGGGGCATGGGGGAAAAGGGCCCGTTAAGCCACTCAAAAAAGGCACTGTTGTAGGTCTAGGCCGCCCATGCTTCCTGTCTTTCAAGGACAAAAATTGATAGCACCATGCGTCTACCTTTGGTTCCGCTCAAAACGACCAGATTTCGCGGGCCTTTGGGCTGTTGCAATGGAAGGTTGGCCAATCCCAACCCACAATCCCACAGAGGAAGCCACTACAAACAGCACAGCTAAGGAGTTGTTTCAGATCTCGACAGCCCACACCCAGAGTGAAATGAAATAATGCTAAAATTAATGATAATAATGATAGAACACAAGTATATATTATTATTATTATCATTATTATCATTTTTATTATTTTAAAGCCACCTCCAGAGGAATCTCCGTTTCGGGGCGCCAAAGGGCTTCCTTGCTCGTTCGCTCCGGCTCGCTGGGTGCCAGGCATGCGCTGCATGTCGGCCCGCGCGGCGGCCTTGGGTCGCAGGTCTTAGTTTACTTTTCCTTTTCCATTTGGGAGTGGCTCCTGGCACCCCTGGCGTTGACGCATGAGCTCCTGGCACCCCTGCTGATGGATGACTGTGCTAACTTCAGAACCCTTGGTGGGTGTGGCTCAAAATTAAAGAGCTAGGGCAAACCGCCAGGTGATAGTCATGGTTCCATTTTACCACAGTGCCATGTTGGTACATGTTTTTGAGCCACGGCCATTTAGCAGGGTTCCATTTTGGGCTCCCCTGTTTGAGCCACACCCACTTGGCTGGCCGCCTGGGTTTCTTGTAAAGTGGGTGGTCTTGGCTTCACATTCAGCCACCGCGATGGAAGTATCGACCAAAAACCAGGTCACCACTTGGCCACAAAGGTTGTCAACCCAGCACCCTCCCTGCCATTTAGGGGCTTCACAATCCCCTGTACGTGCGACGATGTGACATAAGAGTGACCATGCAAATCCCAGTTGCCCGTTGCCCCCGAAAGATAGCAAAAGGGAAGCCTTGCTGGAAACCATACCAATTCTTTGAGGGGAACTCGCGAAACAAACAAGAGAAACATGTGCCAGTGAACAACTACGGTATGATTTGGGGCACTCAAGTAGGCAACTGAAACTCATCGCGCCTCGGTCGCACATCCTTTTCGGCTTAGCAGGCTTGGAAGCTTGTGCCAAGAGTCTCGGCGTTTAACAGCGCTCGGCATACAAAGCCTTCTGGTTCTGCTTGGTGGCTATTGCCCCCACCCATGTGTAAAAGGTTGGTGAGTAGTTGAACATGCACTTTCCACCACGGGTCTAAGGTTAAAGGTCCAACCAATTAGCATTTAAGCTGGCTAGGCATTTGTAAAAACTTTTCAAGTAGGGCTGCGGTATGTCCTGAACCCGCGTACCCGCGTCTGGGTTTGTTCTGATCTCGG